CACGCCTCTTTCGACCCGATTTACCGACCCTAAAGGTTACACGAGAGATCCGACCGATTAGCGACTGACTCGCCGTTATACGATTACACCGTCACTGTGCGAACGGGTAAGTCTCGATCGACCTTCCCTTATTTGGTTGGGTGGTGTCACGGTCCGGAAAGAGAGTTTCCTATTATTGCTGCTTAATTATAGCTTTAGATCGTGAACATAGGAAGGGCTATACCTCTTTATTATTGAACGTTTATTCAAGTGGTCACACGTTAGTTATTTTATTTGTATGGAATTTAAAGTTATTGTTTATTGTTCTTATGTTCGTAAGAGTACTGGTTTTATTAAGGTTTTATTAAAGGATGCTGATTTTAACAGTAAATGTGTATGCCTATCAATAATCTTGTTAGCAAAGATAGATCTTTTATTATATGTAGCGATTTTTTAAACAAATGTTATGTACAAGTAACTCAACGATCATTATTACAGAAATAAATTAAGATTTGTAATGCTATAGTAATGGGCGACAAAAATGTAGTAATGGGGAAATCAAAAAAATATTACACAAGTGTATTGAAGGAAAATGAGGTAATAGCGAAAAGAATGAAGTAAAAATAGAGTAATTAAGGTCAGGTAACTGTATGATCGTCAGAATATACATAGTAATCGGAGCTTGGTAATGTCGCAAAATTTCCCGTGACAATGGTATCAGGTTGATCGTCATTCGTACTACCGATTTGTTAGAGAGGTCACTACAACGATCATTTTTGGATCCGGTTGGCGTTACGGTTTCACCAATGACAATATTTAAAAATGTTCTTACAAGACCGAAATTTTTAAGTTACATGAGATCTTGTGATTTTATTGGCTACACAATCAGCGATGATCGACATACCTGTCACATATTCAGACGTGCAGAATTTTCATTGGCTAAATCTAGATGATAAAAGCTCAAAGATAACAAAACGTACCATTTACTGCTGATCTAGAGACCATATTAAAGACAATCTCGGCACATCTAATTCAAAAGTAGCCACTTCTTCGCAGGGTTTAACTGTCAAACGAGTCAATCTTTATTACACAGCTACAGATTTAAATTCTGCATACTATTTCTGACGAAATGGTATAATAGCCGCGAGTAGAGTTCAGGACGAGTTAAACATCTATTATGATGTTACGAGTAAAAGTTCAAAGGCGATATCTTGTTTCGAGAAAACGAGGAACAATTATCGCACTCAATTTAACATTGTCCTTCCGAACAAATCGGATTTTTAAAAGCTCACATTTTCACGAGTTCATTTGAGCAAGAATCACCTAAATCGGAATCCACTCAATCAACTGGACTTAATTTGTTATAAATTATTAATTTTATGCAAAATGATGAAAATTTTACATTTATAATGTTTCAAAGTACTAATTTTTATATATTTTTAGTATTAATATAATATAAATTTAAGAATCATGATATAGAATAACCCTACAATACTATATTTCTATGATCATATTTTTAATTTTTAATATAATTAGTTAAAATTTGTTTTTTAATTTTAGTTACCAATTTATAAAAATATATGTATCTATGTTAATTGGCCAACTAACAACTATTATAATTTGAAGTATGCACAAAATGTTTAAATGCTTAAAAATTTATAAAAATTGATTAATAAATAAAACTAATAAGCTAATTTTAACATATTGCTCCCAGTCTAAGTGAATATTAATTTCATTTTTGATATTGGTAACAGTGTTAAACATTTAATTTATATTCTAAATATGGTATACAGTTATAGAATACAACTATTTAAATTAGAGATAGGCAAAATTATTATGTATTCTTAATATTATTTAATATGATCTAAGATTTTTTGCAATAGGTAATAATAAATAATTTTTACTAACATTCTATTTTTAGTAGAGTTCCAATCCGGATAAATAAGTTTATCCGGATATCCATTTACTATTGATATCTACAAATATTCGGATCATTATCCGGATATCAACAGTAAAACGGATATCCGAATAAATTCAGATCTGGATATCCAATAGATAAATAGGTAAACAGATAATGGATAGGTAAATGGATAATGAATAGGAACTCTAATTTTTAGCAGCAATTTTTCGTTCAATATCAGTTTTAATTACTCACTTCTGATTGCTATTATGCGTTTCATATGTGTACGTAATAAGTAATAGAATATGATAATTACTTAAAATTACTAAATATTAAATCACAAACCATTATCATTTATAAACTATTATAGTTTGAAATTATTATTAAAGTAAGGATATAATTAAAGTTCGAGTAAATTTTCTAAAAGAAATTTCATTGTAAAAAACATTTTTAATATTTAATATTTATTTATTTATTTATTTATTTATTAGAGCACAGAAGGTAGTATTTTACGAATATGAAGGTTTATTCAAGTGTAAAAAAAATTTTTATCGACAATATTAATACCTTTAATATTACATCTTTCATCAATTAACTAATTTATTTTCTTTGTACGATTAAAAATAATTTTGATAAATATTCCAAGCTATAAAACGCAAATGATATATCGATATAATTTGATAACAAGTTTATAAATTTATAAAAACTGACAATTAAAGAGCTATAAAAAAGTGCTGTTTTAGTTATCTATATGTATTTATGTCAAATGGCGTAAGTCATACGTACGTACCCAATAAACAAACATAAACGTTTGTATTAAGTAATTACCTATTTAGTAAATTTTGTTAGTTCCCTAAACTAGTATGTAAACTCATGTGAAGATATACCGATAAAGGCATTATCGTGATAAAGATTATATAAAGATAGATATGGTATCCTCCAAAATAATATAAAATAACGCTTCTCTACCAATGAAATCATTAGGTTCGTGAATAATACCCAGTATTATTCGAACTTCGAAATGGAATTCTTGAATAAGACTGCTAAACAATATCAGGAATATTACTTAGTGTTAGATGGTACGCTGAGTGTATATTTGATCTTGTAATATTATACTATTTAAATAAATAATATGCGAAATATAAAATTGTTTCACACTTTACTTGTATTATTGATTTTTTTTCTAAAATCATGAAAAGTTTTGATGAATCATCTTTACTTCAAAAAGGATTAACATTTTGAACTATCATTTTATATTAAGTGTGATTCTTATTATGAACTTTCATCTTATAAACTTTTATCTGGTAGTGAGCTTTATGCAAAGCATTTAATTTGTTTTCCATGAAGAACCTTCATTAACTCTTAAAGTAATTATCCCATATCAGATGTAGTTCAAAAGCAACATTTTTATCTAATATTTGGATCGGTTGAAAATGTGTCTGAAATCAAATTTAATAAGGGCTTATCAAAACTAGAGATGTACGATCTCGCACTTATCCGCGACGTGTATTTTATTGTTACATGGTTTATCACAATATTACGAAAATCAACGTTACATAAGTTATAAATGGGTGTCGCCGAGTGAAAGCCAGGAATTCTAAAAATGGACTTCTTTACATAACAGAATACGGACTTTTAACCGAACTGATTAGAATAATAAATAATAATCCCATATATGATAATTAAACACCGTCACTGATAATTTCGATCCATTTTTAATCAAAACTTATAACTATTAAATTAAGTAGGGTTACTTTTCAAGCGTTTCATACTTTTTATTAAAATCTTAGTTATCAACATACTAGCATATTACTACCTACTCAAAGATCTTTATTTTAATATATTGAAGCAATTATGATTTTACTTCATAGGAAGAAGTTCGTCTGATTGACTAATAAATTCAATTTAATTTTACATTATTTATATAATCTAGAGCGCTTTTTAAAAAAACGAAAACTAACTATAATAAAGTAAAAAAAAACATATGGAAGGTTTCTTTAGAGCTGTAGGACTCCATAGTTAAAAATAAGATCTAATTCTCATTCATTTAAAAAAATTAGCTTAGTAATAAGTTGATTTTATCGAGTTTTGAGAAGTTATTACTATACTAAATTTTTTAAACAGACGAGAATTAGATCTTATTTTTGACTATGGAGTCCTACAGCTCTAAAGAAACCTTCCATATGGTTTTTTTTACTTTATTATAGTTGGTTTTCGTTTTTATAAAAAGTACTCTAAACTGTATAAATAATGTAAAATTAAATTGAATTTCTTAGCCAATCAGGCAAACTTCTGCCTATTAGATTTTACTAGTCAAAAGTAACTTTCCGACATATTTTGACGCATTGATTAAAGTTTTTAAGAACGCTGTCAAAATTGGCAATAAGCAAACCAAGGATACCCAATTTGGAAACTTTCGGTTTATTTTATTTTTATTTTTGTTTAATAATATTTTTTTACACAAAATCAAATATTGATTCTATATGCAGAATATAACCTATTTTGCTTATGTATGAATTAACTTGTTTGAAATACACCATAGAAATTTCTAAATCGATGTTTCATTCATAAGATCTAGCGACAAAATTCATATAATCAAATGTAAGCAATTAAGTTTAAAAATAAAAAAAAATCTATATAAAATGTGAAATAGAAAATTTACATCATATTGGTTTTAACAATCAAAATTTCTAAACTATTGAAAGGATGACACAACCAAAGAAAAAGAAGAACTTTATAATTATCACATCACGTAGTTTTAATAATAATAATGAAACATCTCCTGCCTCTGAAAGTGAGCACCCTCAAACTTCAAATATTGAAACAATACCTTCAAATATTGAAACAATACCTTCAAATATTGAAACAATACCTTCTAATATCGTACCTTACGCCACAACCTCAAGCGATTACGTGCCCAACTTAGAAAGTCGTGTTCAACATTTAGAAGAATGTATTCAACAATTGGAAGATGAATTGAAACGTTCTCAACAATCACAAGGTCGTACTCAGCAATTGGAAAATGAATTGAAGAGTGTTCAACAACTAAAAGAGCAATTGGAAAGTCAGTTGAAATGCATTCAACAAATAAAGGAGCATTTTGAATATGAGTTGAAATATGCTCAACAATTAAAAGAGCAGTTGGAATATGAATTGAGATACGCTCAGCAATTAGAAGTTCGTGTTCAGCTATTGGAAAATGGTGTTTACTGGTTAAAAAATGTTACTCGGAATTTTTTGACAAATTTATTATCTGATGTTTCTGTTTTTGTACAAAATTTTCTTCAACCATGAAAAAGGTGTATTTTTCTCAATCATGGATGCGTGTAAACTATTTTTTGCATCAAAAGAAAAAGGTAGCAATAATAACTTGAATTTCAACTGTACAGTATTTCAATTTGTACATATGTGTTGTATGTCAAACTAAAATTTTGGCGTCAGATCAAATTTAAATACCGTGTTTCATTGGGGTTAGGGTGAAAATTTATGTTATGGCAAGAGTTGGTACTAGCAGGATTATAAATAATTTAATCTGACGGGATAGTAATTTGACTCATAACATACTGTGTAAAAAAAAAAAAGATATTAAAATATTATTAAAAGATAAAGAAATGTCGCAAAAAAAGGAGCTAAAGAATGGGCTTTTTATAATTTTTTTTCGAATATTCTAATTTCTGTACAGACTGTACAGAATGAACACTTAAATTCTGAAATATCATTATCCTAATTTGATAGTGCTCTGCATAATTTACTTGGATAGTTTACATCAATGATGAATGATCATAAAGTATACTCCGAAATGAATCTTGTGATTAAGCCTTCTTTACAAAATGGAATAGTAAATTTTTTTTGTTGTGCAAACACATTTTTGCGTGACAAATACAATACAAAAAATGTCGATCTGTTATATGTATTTCTCAACTTTGAAATTTTCAGAATGCAATAGCCGTGTTTTGATGTGCTTACCATTTAATACATACTGTAATTTACGCATTTAGATTAGTCATTAATGTTTATAAATAAAGTATTTGCCCATTGAGTGAATGACCTTTACATGAAACTATAATAAAGTTCTCCCTAAACGTAAGGATTTTTTTGGTTTCATGCAATACATTACTCTTCTTAAATGAAATTTTTAGACCAAATATAGCTAGAAAGAACAATCGAATTTAACAATATGTACATTACGAGAATTTATATAATTATTCTTATTTTTTTTTTACTAAATTTTATTACAAGTTTAAGTAAGTAATTCATGCTTATAATCTTATGCAATCTAATTATTATTACTCATTCACTTTGTAACAAACACTTCCTTACTGTACTTAGAATATTAGTAATTGTGAATGGCCCTGATCCAAACTGAAATTTATTATTTGTTACATTCTTCCTCTTTCTATATGCCTTCTTGTTCAAACATCAATAGGCCATGCAATTATATTACCTTTTTTTATCGCGTCGCATGCAGGTAGAGATATTAAGCCATTCTATGAATTGACTCGAAAGTAATTTAGTCTTACTCTTTGAAAAAAAAACCCTCACTGAGCTCTGGTCTAAATGAATAGTTCGTAACTGATCAGATAATATGGGCTAGGTGCTAAGAAAAGGGACGAAATTGCCAATTTTTTCAATAGCTGTTTTTTTACATAAATCAATTTAAGATTAGATTGGGATTATTTTTCACTTAAGACACAAAGGTAGTTGTGTTAATAAAATTTTGCAATATACTTCTTAAAGTTTGCATTTTCTTATAAATTATTATACATTTATAACATAAAAATTGATTTTCCGAAGATCTTTTTTTTTGTCTTTTCTCAGCACCTAGCCCATATATAGGTTGCATAACGGCGTAAAAAAATAATAAATATTATAAATATTACTAATAATGTTTGAATCAATAGTTTGAACATTATTAATTTAAATGATATCATGAACAATTAAATCAATAGTTTGAACCTATCAGTTTTTAACTAGAACTGGACCAGATAAACAATTTAACTTCTTTACTGGCAAAGCTTTAGAACATAATGTTTATTTTAGTTAAAAACCTTTATACTAAATGTGCAACCGTGAAGCTATGCATGTCGTAGAAATTCCAAAAAATATTTCGACATTAAAGTTGCCAAAAATATATCGGCAATTTAATAATGCGTAATACTTTCAACAAATCCATTTTTACGCCATGCATCAAGTGGTTATTTGACTGTTCTACCATAATATTGGTGCCAAGCTTCTTAAATCTTCGTTACTTTAGAATACTTACCGATTTTGTAGAAAATTGTTGAAATGTAAAAAAAACATTCTTATGATAACATCTACGAAAAAATTTGAAAGCTCATATTAAAAAAATTACCATTAAATCATTATATAATTATTACAAATGCTAAAGCAAATAAAGAAAAAATACCTTTATTTTCTTTAAGTCTCATTACTGCAATTTAAAAGCAAATATAGAAAACAAAATAGCTTTCATAATTCCTAGTAAGATTTAGTTATTCCACTATTTCGAGTTTATATAGACTAAATTTATTAATTTTCACCATATTAGAATTAGTTATTCCTTTAATCGTAAGTTTGATGCAGGCAAATTTTTCTGCAGATTTTTGATCAAATTATTTTTATTAGTACAACTTAGGTAATTCATAATGTTAGATCCCATAATATTATTAGCGACCATTCTAATTTCATAGATCTTTTAACTGATATCAATTTTAACAATTTTTTTAACAGCATCTTTGCTTTTATTTTCTTTTAATTTGGTGAAATAACCCTTTTAAAAATCATGTACATACATCGCTCAGTCAAATTCCGAGATACTACTTTAATTGAAATTTCACTGGTTTAAATTTCCAATATCTGATCATTTAAACACATGAATTCAACGAGGGTAAATATGTGTGGATTATTGGTCAAACTTTTACAGGTAAATTTGCCTGCATCAGCTTATGATTAAAGTGATAATCCTAAACTTTGATTGTTTACGTATTAGTAGTTCTAGAATTATGCAAATTTGTAAATCCATGCACATTATCATGGCTAATTTTGATTGTGATTTGAATATTAGAACCAATAGAGGTGTAAACATTTTGAGGTAACGAAGTTGCAACTTTTGTAGTGTTGACATAAATTGTAATGTAAGTAGCAGGTATTATAATATGTCATAGGTCGTAATAGAAGTAGTAAGTATTAAATAGTGTCGTAGGTCTGATATAGGTGGTAAGAATATTTAATATAATATAATGTCGTAATGTAATATATAGTGAATAATTGAATATGTTATAATGTCGTAATGTAATATAGATATTTTATAAATATAAAAATTAATTATAACAAAAAATAAAAGTAAAATTTTTTTTACTCTTTAGTCATAGCAAGTTTAAGTCATGAAAGCATAAACATTTCAGATAACAATAGTTTTACTTCAAATTTCTTAACTAAAAAAACAAAAAACTAATGATTCAAATTTTGATAAAATTTAGTTATATTATATTTAGAAATAAAATAATGACAATGGCCATTATAGAGTAACATATCACAATTGTAACCTTAGTCAGAAGCATGAAAAGCTTCAAAGTATGAAAGTCCATTTAGTCAATCATTATGAATCTTATTCTAAAGAAATTACTACATATTGGTATAAAAAATTAGATAAAGAAACTAGTAAATATATTTATAAATCAGTTTCAGTTTCTAAAGATATTTTTAAGTCTTTGTAAAATATTTTTTTTTCTTATAAAATAACTAATCATTTTAGTCAATCATTAATAAAAGTATGGATTATAATAAGTATTCTATTTGAATTATTATTTTTTTTTTGCTTAAATAGTCATGCTAGTATATTTTTATTAAGAAAGTATTAACATTACTGCTTATATTACATGCTTAATTTCTTAGTTTCAACTTCTTTAACTACTTCTAAAAATGCCAAGAAGCAACCTACTGCATTAAGCAGTAACAAGTTATCACCTGGAAGATTATTTCTAACCATTATTCAACAATAAATTATTATCAAACTGATAACATTTTCTCATAAGGAAATGAAAGAAAGAAAAAAATACTAAACTAAATTAAACTAAAAAGAGTTACAAAAAGAAAAAAGAAAAAAAAGTATCAAAAGGCATACCTTATTTGTAACTATTCCAATAAGGTTACTAACACTTTAAACCTGTATTAAGAATCTAACTATACTTTAACTTGTACTAAAGAGATAAAAATTTTATATACATGTTTCTAAAAATTATTATATATCTCTAATTTACTATAATCCTCCAACTTAAATCCTTATTGTATTCTTATTATATTATCTCATAACATATAATTGTTCAAAAAAGAAAGTGGTAAATAATACTGATATTTTGTAATAGAGAATCAAATTCACTATTTTTAGGTAAAAAAAACAAATTAGATGAAAAAGGTCAATAAGTATAATATATGAAGAGCCAAACTAAAGAGAGTGTTTTCAGCTGTTTGTTCAGTTTTTAAACTTTTAATAACCTTTAATTAGAGTTTTTTTATTGTTTCCAGAATCTTCTTCTGGTTTGGATACTAAACATATTGAAGAGTCTGCCTGCAGAAAGATTTAACTTCAACATAAACCACCAAAAGAGTTACCTGCATCTCAGTTTTTTTATATATTTCTAGTTCATTAGCAATAATCTGTTTTATATATTAAAACAGAATCAAAGATATTGTCTACTTAAAAACATAACTCTTTAAACTGTTTTGGTGCTAATTTGGTTTAAGTGATTATTAGGAAGAGTTGATAAAAAGAATTAATTTAAAATTATTAAAAATTCTTTTATAAGAAATTTTATTAAGAATTTAAATTCTAAATACACTTTTCTATTATAAATAACATTTTCTGAATATCTTTTAAATATTAAGACAGCATATATAACTAATACAATTTATAATGAACTTAAAAATTATAACAGTTTTATTTTAAGTATATATATAAATTTATTACTATAATTGTATATTAATTATATATAATAATAATATATTATTATATAAATATAGAAATAATTATTTGAGTTATAGGTATAGAATTTTTTAATAATATTTTAAAAATATTTTTAAAAATATATTTTTTAATAATATTAAATTTTTTTTAAAATATTAAATAACTGAATATATTTATATATAGATTCACTTTACAATTATGTTATAATAATAAAAAATAGAAAAAATACTTAATTATATTATAAAATTATTTAGCTAAAGTATTTACAAATAATTTTTAACTAAAAAATATCTAATTTAGTTAAAAATATAATAAATTTGTATTATTTTTTGTCATAGTTGATGCTAATTTTAACTGATATTGAAGTTTATATAATAATTGACTAATAGTAAGTTGTGATTAGAAAATTCAAAACAAATATTAATTTTGAAAATATCAAAAATTTGCATTGAAGCACCTTTAATGCATTAGCAAAAAAAAGATTTTTTTATAATTTATTATATAGCTCATTGATCTCTAACCTTAATATAACCTTTAACACTAATTTAAATATTAACTCTAATATAAATAAACATTGTATATAACATCAAATTTTTTATTATATGTTATATAAATGTTAGCATTAGCCAAATTTAATATCAGTTATGATATTTTTTAAAGAATCTTATTAAAGAAACTTATACTTGTAACAAGTTTTAAATACAATAAAAATTTAATTAAAAGACTTTTTATCTATAATATAAAATATGTTAAACTTTTTTATTTTTTACTATAGATTCTATTTTATATATATACCTAGTATTTAATTAGATAATAATTTTATAAAAATTATTATATATAAAATATTATTTATTATATTTGATAATATAAAAATTTTTTTAATTATAGATATTAAGAGAATTGGTTTTATAACTTAATGATAAAGCTGCTAACTTTTCACTGCTAGGTTAGTAGTTAAAATCTTATGATTTTAATTTTGTAACCTAAAAATAGAAGCTAAATTAGATATAAAACCTTATAAAAAGTCTTAAAATAAAGTATAATAACAATTTTAAATTTTTTAAAAAAGATTAATATTACAAAAAGAATGTATTATATATAATAGTAATAATAGTAATATTACAAAAGATTTGGTATATAGCAGTATTGTATAAGTAAGTTTTTAAAAACAGAACAACACTAATATCTATATATCTAATTTGTAGAATGTTTGATTAAAAAGGTAATATAGTATAATTATAACTAGAATAGTAAGCAATGTGATATATACAAAAAAGATTTTAAAAAGAATTAATCTAATCAAAATTAATATATCTTAGTCAGGTCTCTTTAAAGTACTAGACAAATATTTATCAAAATATTTATATATTGAGATGTTCTAAATTAGTAAGTTAGTTACTAATTGAAGATCAGTTTTATGTAATAATTAGTTAGTTTTCTGTTAAAAAAGATATGTAGATTTGGTAAGCAATTTTAATTTAGTTTGGCTTATTTTAAATAGTATATACTATATTAAGATTATTACTCTCACTATTCTAAACTGCTGTTTTTCTCATTATATTAGAATATACTGTACTAACATATTAGGATTTACTACTATTTTGGTTTTTTCTTTAATAATAGTTCTCTATAATCACTTATAATAGATTCTTAATTTGTAGTTTGTAAAGTAAAAAAATTCATTTTATTGCTTATGCAAATATATATGTTATTTATAACTTATTTATTATTTATTTTTAGAATACTAATACTCTATATATCCATTATTACAATTATAATGATTATAATAGTTATATATATATAAGCATTATAATCATTATTATTATTATAAATATTGTTAATCCTAGTATAGTAAGAGATCTTTATAACTAAAAAGATGTAACTTGAGGTCATATAACAATGATCCTATAATAAAATTGAACATTCTTGGAACATGTGTTTTAAATCTAACAATATCACAACTTAGATAATGAATACCATATATATATGCAATAAATTAAGATTCTAGATCTTTTTAAAACATTAAACTAGTAGTATATCAATATATAATTAGTAGTATATCTGCAAAAAAGTTTGCAGAAAGCATATATAATCAAGTTATAGACCAAACTAACTATGAAAATACAATTAAAAAAATATAGTAAACTGCAAATTAATAATTTATATCTTAATAAATTTAAAAGTAATAAAAAATTAGAATATAACAAGATGATTACAGATTTTTTTGAGTTTAGTAACAATATTATAAAAGTTGTAAAAATATATAGACAAGTATAGATATAATATCATATTGGGTATTTAGAGCAAAAGTAATTTAGTAATACAAATATAATATAACTATATATAATAGTAATGTAAAAAACTAATAAAGTATAGTTACAATTTGATATTATAAAAAAATATATATAGATATTAATAAAACATTAAGATATTATTTTAAATATTAAAAATTTAATATTATTAAATAATAATAATTTTTTTACTATATGTTGATAAGTTAAATTTATTTAGATGTTAATAAAAAAATTATCAATATATTTAAAGCAAATACAACTAATTTAGCTAACTGTTTTAACTATTTATACAAAATTATAATAATGATTTATCAAATTTTAACCAATAATTCATTTAAACAAGTAGCAATTAACATATTTAATAAATAGTTTAAAGAATTTTAATATCTTATTTATTTTTTATGATATTTTATCTAGCCTTATTATTATAATATTTAAATGTTTACTATTTGATTAAATAAAACTAAAAAAAAACAATTTTAATTATATAAAGTTTATATAATTAAAATTAAATTTTTCTTTGATATTAGTTATAAATAATTTAACCTAAATTAATATTTTTAAAATAAGTTTTGAACTTAAAAATGGTAAATTTAGAAAAGCAAAACTAGTTTTTGACAAAGTTTATATTATAGCAAACAAGAAACTAAAGAATTAGTTACTCAACTTTGATGTTTTGATATGAAATTGTTTTTATATAATTTAACATATGTTTCAGAAATAGATATAGCATTTTTATGATAAAATATATCAAATTATATCTAAACATTTAACTAATTTGACTTATTGACTTTTTTCAATTTCTCTTTCATAAGCAAGTTGTAAAAAAAAATTTTTTTTTTAAAATAAATTAATAATAATAAATAAATATGATTAAATAATGAAAAATTAAAAACTAAAATTAGATTATATTATATGACTAACATAAAATCTGAATTAAGCAATTATGAAGAAGGACTTACAGAAACTGAATTATATGAAACTGTTAACATTTCTGTAATTAGTAATGTAATGACTTTAAATGAAGAAAATAATCTGCTTGATTTAGAAAATTCAGCTAAAGATATTAAATCTATGAAAGATATTTTACTTATTGGAGAAATAATTGATTTATAATATTATTTTGAAAATGAACAAGAAATAAATGACATAAATAATGCTGATATATCAACTGTATCCGTAAACTTGGATTATTTGCCTGAAGATTTAGTAAATCAACTTTTAGGCAAAAAATTTATAGAAGATTAGTATTTTTTGTTTTATGTCATTAAATATGGATTATATTATGTACAGATATACAGTACATATATAATTATTTTGCTATGCTGTTTTTTTTAAAAAAAATCGGTTTACAAATGCAGCTTAACATGCTATTTAATTCAACATTCGAGACTGCTGCAAAGATCAATTCAAAGACCGATTCAAAATGAAATTAAATCAATTTTGAATGCAAATTTTGTTTGTTAAATAATTCACATTAGTTTTTACAAATCAATAATTTTTTTATTTCAAAATAAATTGGTTTCTTAACTGTCATCAAGTGCACAACTCAATATTTGGAAATACTTAATTCAAAAGAATATTAAAAATAAATCTAACCCTTAGGCAGCCTAAATATTAATTCGTTTTAGGTGCTAAGTAATTGCATTATATAAAATCGGTCTTTCTAATTTTTGCTTTCCAGCATATGCACTGATTCATGTTTTATTAAGTTATATTCATGATTTGAACTATATAATTTATCTTGTTCCTTTTGAAACAAAGATCATTCGCGAAGCTTACAAAATCTGCGCTTAATTATCAAAGTTCGAACAGAAAAAGTAAAAACATTTTATTCTCTCCTGAAACACTAGCGTTAGATCCTACAATGTGCCATATATAAATACGACAAGTAATGTGATCTAGTGCATCTATTACGACCTATATAGTATTACAATACATACATTGTGTTACAGTGTAATGTGATTGAGGTGACACTGCCACAAAAATGTCGAACCAATTGCTTATAACTCTGGCAAATTTGCAGATCGTTTGGCCAATTTCAAATATTTTTTTTGATTCCAAATCTGGACAAATGTTTTATCATTTACTATTAGATAACTGTTACATAACAGGAAATTTTTTTTTGTCGGAGTTAATGCCATTCCATGTACTGCTACACAGCACATGATTGAAATTAACTCGGATGAACCTGTTATTTGTCGTACGTATGTTCAATAAAGATGTTATCCGATAATAAAATATGACATGTGAAATTTTTTTTTCTGATATTTTGCTAAACTGATTACGTAATTTCATGTAAAAAATATAATGGCAAAAAAAATTCTCATGATCATATGAAATGCCTGATAACAATCAAAATTAGCCCTGTCAGAACGTCACATTCTGACCACCTATTGTGGCTGGCAAGGTCTGCACGTGACGATCAGCAACAAAACAATTGGTAGAACCAAATTAGAAATTTGAGTCAGAAAAAATAACTTATCGTACTTATGTACAAATTCATTCATTTGAAATACATATTCAGAAATTTCTAAATGTATGTTTCATTCAATAAGATTTAGTGACAAAATTCGTATAATCAAGTGTAAGCAATTCAGTTTCAAAACGAAAAAGAAAAAAATTACATAATCTTGATTTTAACATCACGCCATTTTAACGACAATAACTAAATTTCTTATGCCTCTAAAGTGAGCCACTCTAAACTTCCGACTTAGAAAGTCATGTTCTGCAATTAGAAGATTGTATTCAACAAATGAAAAAATGAATTGAACCAGTTAAAAGATCATATTCTGTAATTGGATATGAATTGAAAAGCGTTCAATCATCAAAGGATCAATTGAAAAGCGTTCAATAGTTAAAGGATCAATTGGAAAGTGAATCAATATTCGTTCAACAATTAAAAGAGCAATTGCTAATAATATCAATAAATATTTAAAATAAAAACAATTTAAATTTTATATCAAAATTTAATCAAAAGCCATAAGACTATTTAGCTCTTTTTATTGGCTTTAAAACACAGAAATACAATTTAAAGCAGATAATCTATTAGTTTTCTTTGCTTGCTTTAACATTTTCGATAAATTATATGGTTGTTTAATAGTCTTCTCTAAAAACGTGTAATCATTAAGGAACTTATTTATAAATTTGTTTGATTGCTGCTATTCTGAGAATGCACCGTTTTTTACCTTTCGCTGATATTATTGTACAAAAGTTATCTGAACTTTGAATTAGTATTCTACATGAAATAGTGAAGTATTTGTATATTGATAAAGATAAAGAATTTTCCTGTTGATATATTGAAAGAATTTCTATAATTCACTTTATGAAATCTTCATTACACCTTTATTGATTTATTTTATAAATATTTCTACCACTAAAATTACCTTCAGTTTCAGTATTATTTTTAATACAACATTATATATAAAAAATATTTATTGCACTTCTTCAGTTTTGGTCATCGTTATTTGAAACAATAATTAATTCGATTTTTTTTTTAATTATCAGTTAGAACTTATAACAACGTATAGTCAATATATTTTTTTAATGATTAATCCGGAGATCGGAGATAACATACCTTGTTCTATATTTTCAATTGTGGTAATTTGACGTAACACACAGAATCTAGCGATAATTCTAAATGTCATTTTATTGAATATTCAGAATTTTCTTATTACGTATATTTATTTTTAGCAAATGCAGCAAAAACTGTTACGGCTTATGCCGTAACTAGTTATTTAAATAGTTACAGCATAAGCTGTAACAGTTTCTGCTGCATCTCTTATTATTTAGAAAGTTACTATAAAATCATTTGATAAAAAAAAATACAATCAACTTAAGTTTAGAAATAATTAGTAACTCCGTATTATTCATTTGATTTCGTAGTTGATAAATTTACTTACTACTGTACTATACGTAGAATAAGTATCTTCTTATTAAAAAATATCTTTTTATTCGTGTAAATTTAGTTAATAATTATAAATATCATATACACAAAAACTTAAAATTGAATAAATGATGAAAATAACTATCATAATTTGTAGAGCAAAAACCCCGAAGGTATTATAAGGTATTTAATTATGTCCAGGTATAATGCTGAGGATAATACTATAGTGAAAGTAGAGTACTACACTAGTTGTATTATATTGTTAATTCAATTGAATAATCGGTTTAGAAAAAATTTGCTGCATAAATAAACTGATTATACGTAGTACTCGGATAAAAAAGAGAGCAGGGATTATTATGCTAAGTTAATATCTAATTTCGCAACATACGGCAATAGCACTATTAAAAAAAAATATTGATGATTACAAATCATTGAAACTTTTGCTCAAAAAAAATAGATTTCATAACTCGATTCAAGCATGGTTGGGTTAATTAAATCATGTGGTTGAAAAAACTCGTTCTTAACTGGTTTTTGGTTTCGAACAAAAAAACGAACAGAATTTTGGTAAGCAGAATAATACTCTTAAATAAACTGTTTTAGAATAGGCAACCAATGAACATTATTATCAATCTTTTTGTAACATGTATCATTCACCTAATTCTGATTAAAATACTGTAAAAAGTGCAAATAAAATCTATTATTTTTAATAAAAAAAATTTTAGACCCAATGTTGAAGCTTACAATTCGTTGAACTACTATAACTTGTGTACTTTCGCTGAGTCATAAGGCGTATGAGAATCTATCTCACGCGAAGGATGCCCAAAATCTCAATTGTAATTAATATCGAATTTTATCATACCGTGTTATCTATAGTTTTTTTTTTAGCATTTGTCTACAACCATGCATGTTAAGCATAGTTTTTTCGAGTCGATATACTTTTTAATAATTTGATATTTACTATTTCAATTTAACATCAAGATTATAAATTCATTTCGATAAAAATATCTTTAATAATACATCTCTATGATGAAGAGTTCAAAAAAATTGTTTATATACAGCAGTACAATTACATACATAATTATTTCTAAAAAAAAAAAAAAAAAGTAATGATACAGTATTTAATTTATTTGATTGCAAAATTTAAGGTGCTAACACATATGAACTCATTATAGGGTCCCATCCCTCTCTCGCAATAATCGAGTTATGAAAAAGTTCTAATGTTACATATGAAAGATATCACCTTACCCTATAATGGGCTAACATGTGTTAGCGATCTTGTAAGTCAAATATTCGATAATTATTAGCCTTCCCTACACTTTCTCACAATAATCGAAATGTGAAAAAAAGTTCTAATGTTACAAGAAAAAGATATCTCCTTACCCTATGATAAGCTATAACATGTGTGTCAGTCAAAATATTCTTTTAATGATTAGTTAAATTTTAGTTTAGTTTGATGAAACTAAACTCTAATCAGTTTCGATATAATCATAATCTTCAAATTTCTCTGAAAGTAATTCTTGAATTGAACCGAGAATAGTAGAATCAATGCAATTGTTATTAAGCCTTAAAGAGGTTAAGCTAGAATTGTTGTCAAGTGCATTTTCAAATGCTTTTCCTGCTTCTGTATTAAGATTTGTATTTCTAAGAGATAAGAAGGTTAAAGAAGAATTTGTATAAAGAGCATCAGCTAACGCTTTTCCTCCTCCACTACCAAGTTTATTTGTATCAAGATTCAAAGAGGTTAGTGTACTATTCAAATATAGAACCCTTGCTAACGTTTTTCCTTCTTCCGGTCCCAATTTATTATTCTGAAGATTCAGAGTAGTTAAAGTGCTATTTGTATAAAGTACGTCTTCTAATGCACTACAACCTTCAGAACCAAGATTATTATTCGCAATATTCAAATCAATCAAAGTATCATTCACTTTAAGAGATTCAACCAAAACTTTTCCACCATCAGAATTAAAATCATTACTTGGAGCATACAAATGAGTTAAAGTAGTGTTTTTATAAAGAGCTTTTGCGAATGCATTTCCAGCTTCAGAACCAAGTTCATTATAACCAATACTCAAAAAAGTCAAAGTAGCATTCATACAAAGAGCAGCAGCCAAAGCTTTTCCACCTTCAGGGCCTAATTGATTACCATAAAGATGTAAATGAGTTAATGTAGTGTTCTTACAAAGTGCTTCAGCCAATTCATATCCTACATCAGAATCAAGATCATTTAATCCAAGATTCAAGGAGGTTAAAGTAGTGTTTGTATAAAGAGCATTTGCTATAGCTATTCCACCTTCAGATTCAAGTTCATTATTACTAAGATTTAAAGAGATTAGAGTCTTGTTTTTACAAAGAGCTTCAGCTAAAATTTTTCCACCTTCAATGCCAAGTCTATTACATGAAATATCCAGATGAGTTAGAGAATTTTTGTTAAGAGATTCTGCTAATGCTTTTTTTCCATCCGCATAAAATCTATTGTTTGATAATTTTAAGGAAGTTAAAGTCGTACATTTATTAAGAATACTTCCTAATAAATTTCCAGTTCTACCATGAACGCTTAAATCTCTAAGTTTCTCACTTGTTCTTAAAAGCATTGTAGTTAAAGCACATTTAACTGCCGTAACTACTGGTGGTGATGAATGACAAGTAAATTTACAAAAATTAGGACCATAATAATTTTCAAGCCACTTTATGATTCCTTTGTCTGAATTTATTGTAATAACTTTAGCGTAAGAAGTGTAGTTAAATAATGGTTTTGACTCATTTGGAAGTACTATATTAAATGATACCAAAATTCTTTGTTCTTCTGTGTTCAACGATAAAAGGCAAGTTCTTATTAAATTACTATGATTAAACTTGTACAATTCGCTCCATAATATAGGTACAACATTTATACACCATTGACGGCTTACAAGAAGGCAAGAAAATAGACTTCCTCGATATTCTTTAAGGTTGACAAAAATTTTTGCTAAGCATTCGGTTGGAAGAGTATTCATTTTTCAAGATGTATCTAATTTAGAATTTTTTTTATTATATGTGTGTTGTTAATAAAGTTAGTATTTATATAACTTCTCCTTAACTTGTTGAACATAATTTAACCATTTTCATACTTATTGTGTAATTGTGTACGCATTATGCGGTACTTGTGAAATCTAAAATTATGCAATAGTTAATCATTATTTAAAAAGTTATCTCATTCATAACCTTGTAATGGAGAGATTTAAGATAATGATAGTAAATAGTTTACGTAGTTAAAAAGTCAATTAATTTATCAAATCAAAAAAAAAGAACAAAGTTTAAAATTATTTACAATTATTACGTAATTATGAAATTGATATGAACGCAGCCTTCCATTTCATTACTGCATTAGAAGGCAATAATTTATTTATTATTAACAGAATTATATAAAAAAATATCATTTATCAAAATCTCGTTTATATATAAGGAACCCATGTTTATCGTTATCGTTGTATCAATCAATATCGATATGTTTTAGTCTCATGATTTTTGATTTAAAATTATTTGTAATGTTTTTAATTGGTTCATTTTGAATGTGATTTACGCATTTGGCGATACAAAGAAGGACACGTGACGTACAGAACCAATCGGAATCATATGTTAGAGATAAAAATCTATTCCTGTACTCTGATTAGTCATTCATGTCACGTGCATTTCTTTATGTTCGAAATCCTTTGTTAATTCTAGAGCATGAAAAATTAGAAATTTCTACTGTTATGTATGTATGTACATACTGATAAAGTAATTTGTATAGTTACTAATGTAATATACGCCTTTTACTCTGTATTACTATTATTAAGAATCAAACATCTGCAATCGTTCGTACAACGTTATCCATGAGCCTTCGTTTGTGCAATTCTGTTCACGAATCCTTCCTCGTGCAACGTCTTCCCATGAGGTCTTCGCTGTCCGAAAATCAATGACTTAGAAAGTATCATTCAGGTTGTGTCGCACTCACAGTATCCAATTTATAAACTTTGTTTTGTTTATTCTTTAATATGTACGTATTATAATGTTTAACAATAAAACTTGGCAATCTTACAATTAGCATGTTTTATATTTTACTAAAAAAAAAAGAAATTACACATATTAAAGGGGAAATATTATAAACTTTATTGTCAATATATATATCAATTATATCAATTATAAGACATGAATAGACATACTTTTCATGTGAGTTAATATGGAAGCTGAACAAAAATTCCGATAAATTAGATCGGCTTGAGTTAATGTTAACTATGGTTCCTATAGTGTACAGAAGATCATATTAACCCTAGTAGTCGCACCAATTTGTCACGGAGAAAATTTAGGCCGAAATTATTTTCAATGAAATCATAGTCGTTCATTAAGTGAAAAATAATTCTTGGCTTAATTTTACCAAAATTTTCTATTTTGGGTGAGACATTAAAGCTAGGTACAGGTTAGGATTATTTTTTTGATGTAGGTGTTACTATTTATATTTACATATCAAGAATACAATTTATGCAGTATGTAGACTAATATTAAAAGTTATTTCCAGGCCGTATCATGACAAAATTAGAAGTCTGCTAAAAAGGGCAATTCATATCTTTTTAGGGTTAGGTTTGGTTTGGTTTAGATGCATTTATTCAAGTAAAATCATATCTCCGACATTTTTTATTAATGCACCAAGATGAGTTTAGACTGTGAGTTTTCTATTTTTTTTTTACGTTTTTTACTTTCTTCTTTGGTTTTGCTTCTCCGTGCTGATCCGGAATCATTATCAATTTTTATAATTTGATTGGTGGTTGTTTACATGATTTGCCCACGACTCCCAAAATAGGTGTGGCGGCTGCACATATGGATACTGTGTTAGGTTACGTTAACATCGACTGCATTTTAAGATTAACGTTAAAGTTAGCGTTAGTGTTAGGTTAAGATTAAGGTTAGAAAAGTTTTTAAGCAAATCTTATATCAAAATTATGAGATGAAATTTTTTTGGTAAAGCATGAAAAACAGTTTCATAAGCAAAATTTTAAGGCAGAAAAAGTTTTTAATTTTTCTATCATGATTGGTGGCACAGAATCCATATGTACGCGACACCTAGATTCAATGAACATCAAACTGGGAATGAGGTATGACACTAAATCATCACACAAAATAATTAGTACGTACGTACGTAACATGTATCAGTATTACTACGAACCAGGAACTGGTACAATCTGGAGCACGAGATATGTTATTTGATTGGATTATTATTATGAAATATGTATTTGGTGGTTCTCAACGCCTCCATTGATAAAATGATTTGATTGACTATCACGTTTAATGATTACTGTCTGCCATCTGTTTTTCTCATAGAATTACTCTGATTGGTTGAAATTTAAAATCCGTGTTTCACATATAAATTTTCGATTAATCGAATTGATTGACATCACTAGCAATAAAGTGTGATTGGTTTATTAACACATTGACGGAAAGCATATCAAAATTTACAGAGAAAGTGTGTCATCCGCTTCGCTCCGAATTAATTATATATTTATTTCAATGTGAATATTTAGAGTCATAACTAGAGATGGGAAAATCGAGGATTTTTCGAATCTACTGCGCAGCCTGCACGGGCCTGCATTACGGCTAATGCGGGCCAAAATTGTTAAATTCTGCGGCATTACGAAAAATTCCGGGCTTCCGAGAAATTCCGCCTGCGCAGTGTCCCATCTCTAGTCATAACCTGCACATACTATTTTTTTTCATTTGAGGATATATTTTTGTGAATATTTATGAATGTTCATAAATATTTATGAACGTTTGTATATTCATAAATGAATATTCGAATAAGTACTACGTACTACATCCGTACTATGAACTTTGTTTCACTATGTTAAATAAAATTGATGAATTAAAAGTTATAAGTGTCAAGGTTATTTGGTTTTATTATTAGTTTTTAGTAAAATTATGAACTTAACGGAAAGATCTAGTAGGATTATTTTACCTACCGCATGGGATATTGAAAATAAATCTTCAAATTTGAAAATAGAATCAGATGGTCTTACAGTCAGTTATGAAGGTGAGTTGCTTGGCTACTTATTTTTGACTATTGTACATTTTTTACTATGTTACATTTTTTATCAGTGAAAAAGATTAAGCTTCGGACAAACTTTTATATTGCCATTACGCATATTAAGCCTGTAGATTATTATAAACAATAGAGTTAACCCTTGTTATTACAACCCTTTGAGTTAATTCTTGTTATCATGTTTATTGAATGTTGATTGTTAGACGATTTAAAAGAGTTACGTTATTCACTATATATTTTTTTCGAATAAAAAGGACCAGAATATTATAAAGTTGCTGCTATAATTCGAGCAAATAATCCGGTTTCACCACAGTATGGACTATTTACTTTGAAGTTAAAATTGTAAACAAAGGAAAAAATGGGTAAAATCAATAATCGTATAATATTATGTCTTAAATAATCGCTCTATGATTTATAATTACATTTGTAACTTTTTTCTTAAAAGAATGATTGAAGTCGGTTTTGGTACACAACAAAGTATTATGAATACAAAAGAAGATAAAAATAAAAAAATGAATTCAAGTATGACATACATACCCGGTAATAATAATTCTTAATTTTAATTATTATTATTGGTTTTTGTTTAACGTTCATCATAAAATTCTTAGAGCAGGAAGATAATTTGTGGAGTTATCATGGTGACGATGGGTATTTATGTGGACCTCATAGGCAGAAGTTTGTCTGGTTGGCTAATAAATTTAATTTAATTTTACATTATTTATACAGTTTAAAATACTTTTATTTAAAAAAAATGAAAATTATCATAGTTATCAGCAAGTTATTTTTTATAAACTTTATGTAGCTTTATAAAGTTATATAAATATTATGTAAAATTTTTATATAGGTTTACATACCCAATGTAGATTTACGTAATAAGAGTCTTTATATATAAACTACGTAATTTTCATTTATAATTTTATTTATTATTTATTTTTATTTTTTTTTTAAGGTGACCTTTTTGGTTTTTTGATTTTTATTAATGATTTTTTTGGTAATATGATTCTATGAATCATTACAGAAAGAGTAACAATTGTTTACACATATAACTTTTCTATATTACTTATGTAAGAATTCTGTCTGAAGGTTTCTCATCAATTTTTTACTTAATACTTTTGCTTGAGTGTTTTATTTTAAATCCTTTGACCTGCAATCTGTGTTAATATTACTAAGTTATATTTAGGTTATTATCTTAACCTTAAGATTATTTTATCCTTGAGATAAATTTCTTAGAGTTTTCTGTACTTATTTTTATAACTAATCTATTATTACTATATTAGAATCAATAGGGTTAATCATTAAACCATTATGCTTTTATAGAGTTCATTCAAACTTCAGTATTACATTACACTATATCTGAATTATTTTAGTATACTCTATCTTATTATTAAAATTCTAATTCAAATAGTCAGATAGGATTATAAACAGTATGTTAATATATTAGACTGACTTGATATCTTTTTCTTTTGATCTATTTTGATAGTCTAGTTAATAATATCTTTTATTCAAAGGTTCTTGTCTATTTAACTCTTTACAATTGTAATCATTTTCCAAGGCTAGTTTTTATAGTAATATTATTAAAGATCTGTGTTATTTTTTTGCTTAGACCTTTCTAAATAGATTTTTTGTTTTTTAATTTTAATAGATTTATATAGTTATAAGAATTTATCTAGAGTTTATACTACCTGATACTAATTTATATTTTTCTATATAAATAGTTACATAGATGTCTCATAATCTGTTAGTTATACTAGTATGATTATTATTACAAATATTTTAATTTAATTGTTGAAAACAGATATTATAATATAAATATTATATAGGTAATTATATAAATTTTTACTGTTAAAAAGTTTTGAATATCTAACCTACTACTTGGAGATTGATAACTTATCTATTTTACTAAGTTATTAGACTATTTAATTTTTTTTTTTTTTTTGTTATACCAAAGTAGAAACTTTATTAAATAATAAAAGTAATTACATTAAAGATTTCTAAACTACATTTGTGTTACTTATTTAAGACACCCAATGTGACATTACAC